GACAAAACGCGCGATCAGCTGCGAAGCGTCGTCCGCGCACTTCTTGCACGACAGGGTTACTATGTCGGAGCTTGAGTTTCAGCCACGTTAGTCGTAAAGGACGGAATGACCGGTTGGGAAACAGTAGACTTAGCAAACAAATATAACCGTGGCGTCGAACGGGCCGCGTAAAGCATCTCCTTGATATTGAATCCTTAGTATTTACAATTCTACGAGCCGGAGCCAGGATACAAGCGTTGATGATCGTGGCTCCGAATTTCCTCTTCCTTTCTTCTTCTGAGGCTAGACGGAACATGAACAGAATGAGCCCGAAAAAGTTGTATTTTCCTACTTGAGTGGATGTGTACATAGATATATATCAAGGTCCTCACAATACGGCACGTCACATCCCATATCATCTCGAATAGGCGCAGTATGTAAACGACGAGCGCAAAGCAAAAGACACCAGACCCATGAGGTGGCCTTTGCACCAAGGTATCTCTGTGAACAACGGATGCTATTGAATGTGAGAACGGCAACCGTAGGATAGTTCAGATAGGACTCACCTTCCGTAGCGTTTCGACTGAAACGCCCGATCCAATGGAGGATAAAAATTCCATGGCGTGTGAGTCGCAACCCCAACGTTCGATATCATCCACGCCGGTTTTACCATCCTCCTTCTCGTATTTCTGCATCAGTTCCATTGTAATCACCTCCAGCGGTTTGGAGTACTGTGGGACCGGACCTGCCGGTAGCTCCAAACATTCCTCCAGACCAGCTACAAAATAAGATCAGCGATGATCGCCGGCCGCAGGGGATGTTCCATACCAATCTTCACTTCTCCCGTTCTGGTCACAAGGATGTTGGGAGAGCTCAAGCGAGGGTGCTCGACCCGCCGATCAGTGAGATACGTAAGGCCATCGAGGATCTTTCGGTGGTTAATGGCACCCTCGTCGATTCCCGTGGGGAGCTTACCTGAGCTAAAGCGGATGCGAGCTCGATTTCATTCGGATAGGCTTCGCAGGCGACAAGATGATCCAACGAGACGGAGACTTCGTCATGAAGAACGAAGACCGATCCATCATGTACAAAGCATTCCCGAGAGGAGAGGATGTTGGGATGACGGAGTTCTTTGAATCGCCGCAGTGCTTTCTCGCCGTCAGGTCCCCGAAATGTCCTGATGGCAACAAGTCTGCAGGGGCGGACGCGAGGAAGAGCCACGTCGAAAGGTCCAGCCAACTCGCACGCGTAAACTTTTGAGAAAGTCTCCCATGGCGACTCGTGCCGAACCACGAATGTATCCTGCAGACTCTTCCCGGATTTAGATGCTTCTCCAAGGACCAGTCTCTGGCAGGCGCACATTCGCTTTTCTATATGTTGCCGGTTCGGGGGTAGGCGCTCTCTTCTTTGGCCAGCTTGGTGGACTGCACCCTGTGAACCGGTGTGCCG